ATGCGTTTCTTTATCTGTCGCATGATCAGATAAAATGTTAGAAATTATTAACAAAATATATGCATTTTCAATTTCACTTACTGTTTTGTTTACGATTTCTTTGATGTAACCTTTCCAAGGTTCATTGTCCAGGATTTTGTTCTCCAAACCAAGTTTGTCTTCAACTTGACGTCGGACAATTTTTTCCGTTATAATACTAAAATTCGATGTTTAACGTACAAAATGTCCGTGTATTGTTATTTCGTAGCTTTGACGGGAATATATGTGTATAATATATGGTAGTATATATTATTTTGTGAGTTACTTACTCTAAATCAGCTGAGGAAATAATTGTTTTGCATGATTCAACTAACTTTTTCTTGCTTATTTTCATTTTTTGTCAAAACTCTTTCTATAAATATCTTGGTTTATTTTTCGTAAATGAAAAAAAAAAGACGCCAGAAATGATGGATAATCTCAATAAGATATGCAGTAGAGCCACTGGATTCAATGCAAAAATAGAAAACTTTTTATATATGTTAATATATAGTTCTTTGGATCTAGTAAAAAAAAAAAAAAACCGAGTATATAATATTTTCGTCTATTTCACTTGCGAAACTCCAATTTTAAAAATTTAAAGCATAAAAATCTTTTGAACATTTTATATGTTCTTGAATAACTCTAAATTACTAAAAGGTTTATTACCATAAATAGTTGTATTTTTAAGGAGATTAAAACTTGTTTATTCAAACGTGAAACGATCACTACGATCACAATATAATCAATGAGATTCGGTAAATCAATTTTATAACATTTAAATGTTTAAATATTAAAAAAAATGTTATTATTACATCACAGATGATCTTATAACCATTTTTCCTAGCCAAATAAAAGTAATCAATTAGCAAAGTTATAGAAACTATCCAGAATATTGAAACATGGATCCAATAGAAGTAGGATTAATAAATGAACCGGATTTTTGCTTTAAATATGTCAGAGATCATCCAGAAATGATGCAAAGAAAGCATACTAGAAATACATTAAAGTTATATAAAAAGTAAGTAAAGATAATTCAAATGCTATTATATATATATAAATTCATTTCAAAGATGAAACTAAAAGAAAACAAGAGATATTTTAACAAGATATGAATGTTTAGATTAAATAAAGTAGAAAAAGAATAAATATTTATTAAATCAGAATACTATTATAATAAATATACTATATTCATCTATTCATTCAAAGAATGTTCTTAGTAATTTTTATAATAATAATTAACTTATACTTTTGTTATTTTTTTCTGTTACTAAAATGTTATTTCTTATTTCTCTGTTTAATCATATTCTATTTTCTTTGTTATTCATAAACTTTTATTTAATATGATATTTTTATGATAACTACTACTTTTTTGCAAATTAAAGGCTTCTTAAAATATTTTTTAAATATGATAGAGCATAAATAGAAAAAGGGTAGTAGAACAAATATTTGATCTATATTTTCTTAATTTATCAATTTTTATGCAAAGAAGTATTGAGTAAATTTAGAATTTTATGTATTATATATAGAAGTGTTTCTAGGAAAATCAGGTTCTAAGAAATTTTTGACTAAAATTAAGAGCTTAATACATTTTAATCTAATAACATCAAAAACTAAAATGCAATAAAAATC